GGGAGGGCAAGCTTGGATTCGGGGGGGGGGGAAGGGAAGAGAAGCACTTAACCAGCATCATTTCTGCAAGCGGCTGAAACTTTTCTTGGCATAGGATTTTCAATCTGGATCAGTCTTAACCACCTTATACGTGTACTGGGGGAAATGACAGAGATTCTTTAAATCTAATACTACCAGAGTAATTAAGATTAAATTATAATAATTATAAACATGGGAGAGGTGAGGAGTTGTATATGAGAAAGGGCAAGGAAATTAGAGGGCTAGCATTTATCTTTTCCATGTCTAAAGTAAAAAGGATTGATGACTTCATTTCCATCTCTGCCCCCCCCCCACTTCCCACAGAAAAGGAGGAAGCAGGGAAAGCATGATGAAAGCTCAAAAACACAAAACAGCAATGAGCTACATTTAATTAAGTCCCAATGCATTTCTAGCGCAGCAATGTTTCCTTAAGTGTAGCTAAACCATCAGCTTAAAGAGAGTCACGCGGAAAGAAGATTCTCAGCTCAAAACGCTTTAGGCTGTAATAACGTTTCCTGCTTATTAAGGCACATTAATGCTAACAAGGCACCCGTTTCCCTCGGTTTAACTGAAAGCGGAATTTAACCTGGTGTGGGTTAAACACAATGCTCAATAAAACTCCCTATTATCCCGTAATGTGAGCTGAAATTGGGGTTATGGTTGTCATTCAAAATTATGTACATAAAAAAATTAATAATGAAAAGAGATCTACAATTCAATCTGTTCCCCCCCCCCACTCCATGTGGGGACAGGAACTGATACTTAGGGGTAACAATGAACCAACGGATCAATTATGGTGTTGCCACTATGAACAGGAAACAATAGAACAAGCAGTAAAATATGAAGAGGAAAGTTTTAACGAAAGGTACAGGAGGTCTGAGAAAGCATTCTTCCCATCTATGCTGGACTGGTCAGCATCATGAGTGGTTAAAAGAAAAAAAGCAGCTCTCTATAAATCAGGTCTAGAGAAAAACTGGGACAATCAATAAATACATCTGGACTCTGTATAAAAGGAGCGAACATCGGGTGGGAAAACAGGAGACGGCTAGTATGGAGCCAGCCAAATTCTCTCAGACATACAGTACAAGACTTCTTCCCTCCACAGTCTGATGAGGTGGACTTGTCCACGAATACTCACATTAAAATTTATAAAAGTTAGTCTTTAAGGTGCCACAACATTTTCCTCTCTTTTTAAAAAAACTTGTTATTTCTATTTTGCTTTTACCTATAATCCCTCCACTATGGGGCCGTTGGCAGAGTATGGGGGAGAAGCACATCCACGAGGATGCTGATTAAAGCGACCTCAGTTCTGGGGCACTCCAGAAGCTCCAGATATTTGAGCAGCTGCTTTTACTTGGGTGGCGAATCCATTGTGGGTTTTATTTTGAACGTTCAAGGACCCAGTCATGGTGGGAAACCTATTTTTTTTTGGGGGGGGGCAAGGTTCAAGCCCCATGATGAACTCCTCAAAAACCGGACTATAACCCAGTTTGGAATTGCGGCTCCTGGATAAGCCGAGTAAAAAGCCTCACCTAAGGATTTTTAGAGTTTCTACATTAGAGGAGAACCTGTGCTGCTTTTGAGGATGCAGCTTCAGAGGGAAGGATGAAAGAGGCGACCGCTTACAGTCCTCGAAAAACAACCAAAGATAAAAGGTTTCGGACCTAAAACGGCTTAACTCAGAAAGTCCTAACTTGTGATAAGTCAGCCGAGGCGATTCAAAATTTAGAATCGGGAAGCAGGCGGAGCCCGTGCAGAAGCTGGGAAACCATCGAATGCTGGTAACACCGCAAAAGGTGCCTGGCAGTCGGGTAACCCGGAGGCCTGGATTTGGCCCCAAGCCTTACATTTATTTATTTTATTTATTTACTTATTTATTCTATTTATATCCTGCCTATCTGGTAACATGACCACTCTACACTACATTCCTCACCCCTGGTATTCTTCTTATTTTGTACTGTCCAATCGCTTCCCACTTAGGGCGACCCTAGGAACGAGCCATCTCCAAAACGTCCCTTCTCAACAGCCCTGCTCAGCTCTTGTAAAAAGTTGTGGCTTCCTTCAGGGAGTCCATCCATCTGCTATCTGGTTTTCCTCTTTTCCTGCTGCCTCCCCCCTTTCCCGGCATTCTTGTCTTTTCCGGAGAAGCCTGCCTTCTCAGGATGATGCGCCCCAAGAAGGACAACCTCATCATTCTTTTTTTCTTCTCCAGAGAGTGTTCAGACTGGATTTTACCTAGGACCCCCCACCCCCTTGTTTGTTTTGCTGGCCGTCCAGGGAATCTGAAGAGGTCTTTCCGAAAGATTTTCCGAGCAGGCTGAGCGAATGCTCTCCTTTGGTAGGAGAGAATCCAAGGGGTCAAGAAAGCGCCCCCGACTATCACAGGAATCCCTTTAAAAACCCTCGACAGACATTCCCTAGAGACGCAGCACCCTCCTCGATCGCCCCCCTTTTTTCCTTTACCTGCGTCCCACAAGAGGGTCAGGGGAGAGGTGGATTCCGTGGCTGGTCAGGAATTCTTCCAGTCCGCTTTCAGGGCTCTGGGGGTGCAGGGGGCCCCTGCTCGTCTGCTTTGGGGGGGCCCTCCCAACCCGTGGCAGAAAGCGCTGCAGGGGGGTCCCAAAAGCATCGGTGCCACGGGCCTTGTAAGGGTACATGGCAGAGGGGGGGTGTCTCTGCAATGGCAAGGGAGAGGCAGAAGGAAAGACAGGTGGGCAGGTGCGCCAGAGCAGCTGTGGCTGAGCAATATGCCCCCCCCCCAAAATGTCATTCTAGCCTTCATAGATAAGAACAATACGTGACATTCGCCTTCCTCGGTGCTCAGGAGACAGAGAAACAAAGCCACACGGAGAGTGATGGAAAAGCCCCCCGGAGCTGTTGTCACATCAGATACATGGTGTCACGGAGGTGGTGGGGTGGAGGGAAACGGGAAGGGAAGGTGAGCGAGGGTGGACCAGGGCGTGGGGCACTTATCCTTCCAGGCTCTCTCGGGAATTCCTGCACCAGGACTGTGCTCCTAGCCTCGGAGCTTTGGGGGAAAGTCCGTGGCGCTTTATGTGGTTTTGGGCAAACGTGCCATCAACTCATTTCCAGCTATGAGCCACCTAATAGGGATTTTGAGGTGCATGAGATGGGCAAGAAATGGTTTCACGTTGCCACACACGCTGGGTTAAGTTCCCAGGACCATGCCGGGATTTGAACCCAGGTCTCTGGAGGCCTAGCCCAATACTCTATCCAGGTGTCTAGGCACAGAGGGGAGTGGAAACAGACAGGGCAACAGGCCTCCCTCAACTGACAATGCCTTCTGCACGCAGTTACCTGCAGTCAGTTTGAACTCGCCCCAGGTAACTAGGCAAATGGCACGATTCATTTTGTTTCCACTTCAATTTTGGGCTTGTTGCCTTCGTGTTACTGTTAACTATTATTCTTTTGATTGCTGTAAACCACCCGGAATGGCCTGCGATTAGATGGGCAATATAGAAGTCAAATAAATAGACTTCTTTTGCAATCTGTCTTCAAGGAATAATCCTGGCGGTGGTTTCTTTCTTTCCAGCCACACGCCGGTTATTCTGCTTTACAAAATTGCTTTTTCATCTGTGCTTCACCTTTTCTCTCTCTTTTAACCCACAATCTGTTTGGTCGCCTTTAAAAATAAAAAATCCAGAGAGCTGATCCACAAGCACGCGAACATTTTCAACTGAACGAGCAGATGCAAGAAGGCAAAGGGCCGGCTTTTTATCATTTCCCCAGAAAATGGAGCATGGGAGGGTTTTTTTCTGCCGAATGCACAACGCAGGCTCCCTCCCAGGGTGCACATATATACGGTAACCAACAGAAGGGGAGAGGTGCGGTGGTTTGGCAGGGGGAGGGTGCAGCGTTTCCAGCCTTCGCGACATTGAGCCGATCCCGGGAGATGGGATGTGACACCTTTCCCGGGATGCCTCATCGGAGCTGACACCAAAGCCGGAGGCCCTGGGTGTGCTCTCCGCCTGCCACGTTGCCCACTTCCACCAGGGCCGGGAGAATGCACAACTCAGAGGACGAGGAGCTGCTTCTCTGAAAAAAAATCTCTTCTCTGCAGATTCTGGCCATCCAAAAAAAAAAAAAAAAGGAGAAACATTTCATTGCTTTGATCTTGCCCAATTTGTGCCAACCCTGGTGTGTTTGCAGCCAGTAAAATACTGCGGTTACAGACACGTTCTGCAGACATGGTTTCCCATGTGCAGCGATCAGGGAGGCCCAAGGCGTCCTGCTGTCTGAGGTAAAGGACATCATGGTCCTCTCCTCTCATTTCACAGACAGAAACCCATAAGCTCGGCTAATTAAATCTTCCTTCTTTCTGACCCATTACACTAGCACGGTGGTTCCTAACCTTGATGGACCGCCAGCCATCCGAGAGCCAGGAGATGTCACGGGGTCTTTTTCTGAATGTTGTGTTTTCACTTCACTGAAAGCCACCTACACTTTAATGGGGAATTGCTGCCTACAAAATGCATTTCAAGATGCAGATTTCAGTGAGCAAATCTGACTGATTTGAGTGACTTCCTTCCCGGCAGAACTCCTTACCTTTAAAGCGTATTCTGCTCCCTGGAGCTACTGCATGTTAAGTTAATGGTTTCCCTCGCACCCTTTGCTTTACCTCTAGTAGACATTTCTCATTCCTCCGTTGCTTCTTACCAACTTATTTCCTTGGGCAGCCAAAGAAAGTGCTTATTCATTTGCTTAATTTTATCCTCCGTCCTCAGACTATTTCCACTTTAATTCTCCAACAGAAGTTTTATATAATCTCAGATTATGATAGCTACTTAGGCAGATTGCCTTCCTTTCAAACACTAAGCTAAATAAGCAAATTCTCCATTCGGTTTATATTAAAGTGAAGTTAATTCTAAAAAATATCAGTCACTCTATTCTGATGAAAATGCATTTTCCAAATTAATATGCTTTGCTTTAACATAACATTTCCTAATGGCGTTAACCCCTTCCTTGCTTTCTCTTAGTCTCACTGGCAGATACTGCCTTAGAGAAAGGAATAAAAAAGAAGAGCTTTAAAAGCCTAATCTTCCCCCCCCCCCAACAACAGCTCCCAAAATCCAACAGCTAGTATGGCCACGGGCTGGCTAGGGATTCTGGGAGCTGTAGTCGAAAAAGATAACTTCTCTAAGCTCAGAGGGAAATGAAACCACTCACACAATGATCTATTTGAGCAAGCAGGATGCTGTCGAATTATCTTTTGGGTAAGAGATCTGACATAATTCTACCAATGTCCCTCACTTTAAATTAGGATAATTCTGCCACAGAGCTCAGAAAAAGTTACTTTTTTGGACTACAGTTCCCAGAATGCCTGCATCCTAAGGAGCCCTACCACTTACTGGCCAAAAACCGATTGCTAGTTGATGTGTGTAAGGCAAGCCTCCGAAACCAACTACTGCGTGTTAGCCAAGTGCTGGTTGTGCTCCTGGACGGGGTGTGCTGAAACCGGTACATAGCCAGGAGTGTAACCAGCGCCTCATTAACCAGTGGGGCAACTTGACAAGGAGACTGGTTTCCCTTACCTAAGCATAAAACAACAACAGGATTCAGGCCAGCGTCTAGGACATTCATTGGGACTAAAGCGGGAGGAAAGGTTTTCTGAAACATATGATGCAGGCTTCCTGGGCTTGTTTGCGTCTCGGACTGAAAGGGAGCAGCAAAAGAAGCACAAAGTGAGCTCAGAAAAGGCAGGAAGGAACACAGCCTAAGATTGGCAATCTAAATATAGATCTAGAGAAGGGCGGAGGGAGAACACACTCAGGCCATCTGTCTGCTTCTTGCCCACCCCCCACTGGTTCGGATGATCACTGTTCCAACAGACCTGTCTGGATTCGTCACTCTTTAACTCAGTTAACGGAAGGTCTCCTGCGGCCACCCTCTCTCAACTGCGGCCACCCTCTCTTGTGGCCTCTCCTCAGGTTTTTAGCTACCTCCCTTGGATTATTCCTGCACTCTTTTCTCTCCTTACCTGCTGGTGTGTCTGCATGGTTGAATTCGAGGCTCTAGGACCAGCCTGGCAAGGCCTTTGTACCCTGTTTTAAAGTGCTGTGCTCATTAAAGGCTTGATGGATCGATCCATCGGTCAGTCAACCCAGTAATGGAAAAATGCATGTTAAAAATGAGCGGGCAATCTCTTTCAAGCCGAAGGGCAGGGGAGCAGCTAAAAAGCTAATCACCAGGGAGCAGGAAATTATTAATTAAAGGGCCAATGCAGTTATGTGACAGCCGGGAGGCAAAAGGGATTAACAAGAAAATAGCCTTAAAAAAGCTCTCCACAGGTGGCCAAGCTAATGTGCGTGTGTTTTTTTTAAGTGTGCTATATTCTTGTTTCTTTTTTTTCCGGTTCTTGTGTTCTCTCCTCCTGTTTTTACCTCTGCACCCTCTCTCTCTGATTTAGACTGTAGGGTAAAATGACTGCAGATTTATGATTATCTTGAGCATCTGGGGGGCATTTTCATTTGGAGATGGAAAATGGCATAGATATGTTTTGGTGCCAAACAAACAAACAAACAAACAAACAAACTTAATGGTTAAAGCAGTACGACAATGACAACGGAATCCATAACCTCGGGAGGTGGCGAGCGCTTCGGCACTTGGAGAGGCATTCAAGAGAAATATAGACAACCAGCTGGCAGATCTGCTTTGATTTGGATTCCCGGACTGGGCAGGGGGTTGGACCTGGTGGTCTTCTAGGGCCCTCTCAGCTGGGGGTCTGGACGTGCAATAAGGGCTGGGTTTCGGCTCCCTGGGGGGGGCACACTTTGCCCAGCCCTGGCCTGGCCTGGCGATGATGATATTCTCTTCTTTTTTTGTATCTGTAGAAATGTCTTTCTACCGAGCTTGTGTGTTTGGCCTGTGAAGAAGCGGGAGAGCATTCACGAAAGCTTCTGCCAAATAAAACTGGGCAAGCTTTAAGGTGCCACCGGTCTCACACGCGGCAAGGCTCCAGAATTGTGCACTGCTTCACTGGCTGTTTTATTTTTTATCTTTGCAGCTGCTCTGCACTGGGTGGACGTTTGGGCTGAGCCATCTGACAAAACCTAAGAAACATAATGTCTTCCTTTCTTTGTCACTACTCCTCTTAAAATACATCTGTGGAATTGTGTTGGATTTATTATTACTACCTACTCACACTGTCTGGAAAGATCATTTTGGACCTCCTTGCAATTCTTTTTTGCTTTTAGCGTTCAGGAGCGATTTGCAAAAACCTGCCCACCTCCTACGAGGGAGCTTTAAAAAGCTGATCTCAGAATGGCCGCAAGAGGATTTACATCCCTCTATTGTCCAGATTGTTCTGTTTATTCCTACGCTCGGCTTCCTGCTCTCTCACCGTAAGACAACCTCGGACGGCATGACCATTAAGTCAGAAAGCCCTGCCGGGACTTTATCAACAGCTTTTGACTGAATCACTCCCTGTGCTAAGTAAGCTGTGGTTTTTGAAACATCCAGAAC